AAAGCTCGATCTTTCTTCTGTAAGAGCATGATTAAAAATGACAAAGGCAAGCAGAATGATTTTCTGGCTTTGGCTGCAAGTCTCTTTATAGGTTTGACTAATTTGCATTAGGAATTTTTTTAAATTGCCATCTGGTGGTCAAAATTTGAACTATTTTTTTTTATTGCAGAAATCTTTTTCCCATAGTCCATATAATGTATATACTAAGTTTCATCAAAATCCGATTGGCAGAAAGGGTTCTACAGGGTCTAAATAGGATCACTTTAATTATGTATTTTAAACCCTGTATTACAAAATTACTACTGAATCATAAATTAGAATGATTTCAGCATTCAGATTACAATCCAACAATGACACCATATTAAGCACTGTTAAGTAAAAACATCATTTCGAGCGAAGAAATTACTGCATTATCTTCAAATTATGGAATCAAGTTGAATATTAAATCTCCCCCCTCCCAACAGTAAACACTTGCCTTTCCAACAATTGCCTCTCCTAAGGCCGGAAATGGTGGCCATTTTATTATGGAGTCACCTAATAGGCAGCCACAATTGCCTCTTATGAAGGGATGAACAGTTAAAACCATGCCTTCTCTGGGATTTGTACCTGGGCCCTTTGGCATCGGAGCCGGCTCCCATAACCACTATACCATCTGGTAGCCTATTTTAAAACAGGGTTCATAGCCACATTTTAGTTAAAAAAATAAGCACCTATAAGCACTTTTCAAGCACATTTTAAGAAAAAAAATAAGCACCTGTCTAATTACATTATACACAACTGCATAACCTTAAAATTAGACTTGTAATTTAAAATATGAGAACGCAGTATTTATTAAGAGAGATAAGCATTACCTCAATCATGGAAATAATTACCTTTTTTTTAATTTTAAATAACAGTTCAATTTACAGAACTAGTTCTCAATGAGAGGGAAAAAAAACTATGCAGAACTAACTTATTACAAGATTTAATGATGAAATTTCAGTTCAAAAATAGAGAAAAATAATAATAATAAGGCACATTTATGTATTCGCTTGGAACCTAATAATAAATACAATTTTATTTTACACTCATATTGATATTTAAATAATTTAAATCTAAATTCTGAACATTTTCTAAATTTTCATTGTATATGAGTTTTCCCTTAACAGATACTGCAAGCAAAGTAATTTAAGTAAAAAGAGGAACATTTCTGAAATCAGAAGACAAAAATTTGCTTCATGCAGTCTCCTTTAACAGTAAAAGCTTAACTAACCCACATACTTGGAAATTGCTGAATACTGAATAATTCCGGATAGTCGAGCGTAATTTGAAAAAGAGGAGCAAAAGAAAAAAAGGGGTCCGGGACAGACTGTAGCCGCTCTTTAGATTTTTCTGCTAAATAAATGCTTTTGACATTTCGATATGTGCATCATACAAAAATAAACCAATGGAACTGAAAAATATTCTGCTTAGCAAGCACAGTAAAACTCTTTTAAAACCCCTTCATGCCGACTGTCACATCTACGTGCCAGCAACGAACACACTCACTTCCCGGCCGACAGGCAGGCGTGCCAGAGCATTTTCCCGTTCACTACCGACTGTCATGTATTTGTGCCAGTGTCCTGGAACGTTTTTCAAACTATAATTTCTGCCACAAGATGGCACTGTATGTCCAAATGGTTTCAGATACATGTACATTAGACCTTCTACTCAAAATGAGAGAAGCATGACTCACATATACGTGTTTTTGATTATATAAACAAAAGGGGAAATAAATGTTTCCGAATGGCATGATTTATGACGTCTCTTTAAATCGCACTTTATTCGCACGTGGTAGCTGTTTATTTAAGTAGAGAAAATTTATTTGCGCTAAAGCATTGGGTATTTCGGTTTGCAGTTCAGTTTTTAGAAAATAATTAGATCTTGTTAGACGTGAATTCTTTCTGTTTTTATCGTTGCAATGTCGAAGCGTCGAAAATGTTTAACAGAGCATGAAATAGCAGAAATGATGCAAAATATTTCAGATATTGATTCTGAAATTCTGATATTCTAATATTGATTCTGAAAGATTAACTGAAAGACATTTTCCAAAACTTTGTTCAAGAAGAGACTGGTAAGAAAAGAGACGACAATGCTTCGTTTGTTCACATTCCCGGAAAAATCCTCCAAAACAGCAAATGAGTTATTACGAGTGCAGGAATGTAACGTAGGACTGTGTGTAGATCCTGTTTTCAAAATTTTTCATATGAAAAGAGAATTAAGTAATATATTAGTTTTAGATGTATAATTAATCATAAAATGGTAAGTTAATGAAAATAAAATGCGTAAAAAATATTTTAAACAAAAAAATAAAGTAATTAAAAGTATATATAGTATAAAAATATCTATAAAGCATAAGCCGTTTAAATACTCTATAGAGCATTATTAAACAATGCGTTGATACTTCGGAAATTTCATGGATTTAGGCTTAGTAGCAAAAAAGCCCCTGGCCCTGGACAGACGCTCGCATAAGACACTGCCGGCCTCCGCGATAAGCGGGCGTTTGTGCTACCCGGCTCGAAGGGGTTTTAAGTGTTCATAAACAAATCTCCGACAGAACATCAAAATTAATTATCTCTGCAAAATATCGCAAACGTTATTGAGCAATACGTGTGCCGTAATTCTTCCCTACGTGATATTATGCAATCGGAATCAACAGCTGCCGGTATGGGGAGAATAAAGAACTAAATAACTGCGGTGTTTTTCATTCTAATTTTCAACAGACGGCGTTAAATTTCCGGAATAGAATCATTCTTCGCTTGGGTTGGTAGACCGCAGAACTTTTAGTCCTATTCAATCCAGATTGGAAAAAAAAAAAAGTCTGTTGCTTGTTTTGCAGCGAATTGTAACAGTTTCAATATTCGAGATTTTGTGGATAAAGGTGAGAACCTCCCAATCTTCGTACTGTATAATGTATTGGCCAAAAAAATGAAATTATTTTGACTATTCGATTACTTACCCTTTATTTAAGCCATTCCGAATATTATTCCTTAGAAAGCTAATCTGTGTTAAAACACAACCATTTTTGGAAGTTTACTATACTTCAGCAGTTACTGCAACTATGTTATTATAAACATTCATACATATGCTCATAATATAAGCATAATGATCATAATAAACAGGAATATGAACTGACCAAGCAGAACGAGAATGCAAATTATTAAGATCTTGATAGAAATTCAAACATGTGTAGTATTTGGGTGGGAGGAAAAGAATGCCGAATGTACCGGAATTTTTTACTGCTTTCGTAATTCTTTGACCAATAGAATGACGGGCACCTGTCTGTACTCTTCGTGCACACTAAAGGTTACGTTAATACAGAAAAAGGGGAAAAAGCTATTTCATTAAAAAAAAAAAAAAAAGCACTAAAAGCAAAAAATAAGCACTAAAAACAAAAAAATAAGGGCTTTAAAGAAAAAGTAAGCACCTATAAGGGCCTTTATATTTTATTTTCAAATATAAGGACTTATAAGCACTTATAAGGACCACTACGAACCCTGTAAAAATGATGGAACTATAGTTTTGTTCAACCCATGATATTGTTATTACAGTATAAATATATAAAATCTGTTTTGTGAAATTTTTGACTTTCTACATTGATTTGAGCTTTCACATTTACTGGCAATATACATTATTAGCTGTTTTTTAGCATAGTTAGATAAAGTAGACTTTTTATTTCAATGGACAGATTAGATATTTGAGAAGCCACTCAATATTCAAGATTAAAATATTCTTGCACCTTAAAGTATGCTGATTATTGCCATTAATTATGATAGAACAGTTTTCTTTAGCTTATTACTTGTAAGAATCACTATAGTTTGTTATACAGTTGTTTTCTAGGAGATAATGATCTGAATCAGTTAGTCGGTTAATGTTTTAAACAACTTAAACTCTTACATGAGAATTTAAGCCCATATTCACCAAACATTAACCAAATATCTAAATAATGATCTAATTTGATAACAAATAGCTAATGAATAAAAGATTTCATTATGATCTCAACTTGCCTATCATCCTGATCTTTCACTTCGAATGTTTTCTTAAAAACTTCGAAAATACACATTAATCCTCTGAGCGGCACAGGATTACGGAACTGTCATGAATACTTGTATTTAAACAGAATTTACAAGCTAAATTTGAATAATTACTTTTTTTAGTCTCTTTTTTTTAATAAACTTACATTTATTAAAATGACATTTACATTATTAAAGAAAGTAAGAAAGCAAAATATCTTAAATTACAAACTAATATGTGCCAAATGACCAAAAATCTAATTACCATATAAAGCTCTGAGAGGGTTAAATTTCAAATTCATACCAATTGTTGTATTTATTCCAAGGAGTTAATGAATTAAATCAATAATAATAATAAACTACAAAAGAGATTACAACCTGTTGCTTATTAGGATTATTATGTATCTTCAGTGCTGTCATGAGCAACTCAACAATTGTATAAATGTAATTTCTTTAAAGGTTAAATTTTACGGTTTGGCAACATTGTATCGCTTTTATGTTTTAGAATAAATAAAGTAAAAATGCACCATGATTTTGCATTAAGGTGGATTGCCTAATTTACAGTGAATTAATTGGGTGGATTGCCCGCATTACTTAATTATAAGTTTCTCTTTACAATGGAGTACTGACTGAATGAACAAAATTTAGATAGAGTCTTGTAACAAGTGCAATGCCAAATCTCATACATGCACATTTTTGTAGTTTTATTAGCAATAAATTTTAAAAATGTCCCATTCATGCTGAAACTCCTATCATCTCGTAGCATTAATAAATATATCACACATCACTTTTTTCCCTCCATACTGTCACCATCACCATGGTGCTACCAATGGGCACGATCACAATGCAAATTAATAACCACCATAACTGACAACTATCTATCTATAGTAAAATTATCTGGAGCTGGAAGTAGCAGAATTCACTGTATATTAAGTAACAAATAATCTATTGCTACTGTACCACAATAAATTTTCAAACATAAGCAAGTTTTATTTTCTGCGTCAATAAACAATGACTCACTTTTTTCCATCAAAAAAGACTATAAAAGTTAAAATGCAGAATTGAAATTATGAATAAATGAAGTGAAAATGTATTAAATATTGTATAATCTACCGTCAATAGGCAAAAAATAATTTAAAGTTCAGACCAGCAGTTCACAAAATCAATTATATCACGTTATCTGTATGATATCTATTAAGAGTAACTGAAAATAGAAAAGATTAAATTTTATGTAGCACTTAACACAAATTTGCATGTAGTCTCATTAGAAATTAGATGCTTAACATTTTACAAATCATTTCTTGAGTACAATTTTATTACCCTTTTAATTTATGACCTTTATTAAATAATGTAAATATCTAGTTATTCATATTAGCAGCATTTCACTTTGTAATGTAATGTTACTTAACAGTTAAAATGAAATTATTTTTGTTTGTATATACACATTCAATCATTACAGCTAAATACTTTTAGCAACAAAAATCATCAATACAACCCTGCATAATTACAGAAGCATTTTAAAATTAACGTGACTAAAATAATGATTCTTTTTGCAATCATTCATTAGAAACTTTTATATGTTTAGGTATAATTAATTGCAAGCATCAGGAATTAGTTTGTGCAGCATATATTATTTATATATAACTTATGTAAAAGTTAAATTTCCTGACAATATTAATAGAAAGAAATTACTTAATTACAACACAGATTTACACATTTCCACCTACATCTATCAAATAGTTAACACTGTTTTAATACTTTTCAATAAGATGGTTAAGTGCTTCAGAAGGTTACATATTATTATCAAATAAACGTGATATTTTCAATATGAAAATAAATTTCACACAGATTATTGACAATGCTACACATGCTTATAAAATATAACTACTCGTTTTAACAAGATATGTATTTTTTTTATAATAGCCTTTGCATATTTTGAGAATGAACTTTTCAGTTTGTGAAACAGTATACACAGTCTGTGATCAATGAAAAAGACTTTAATGCATGAATTTTGATTTTTATACAAATAGTTTGCCAACTAACAGCTTTTAACTATAAAAGGGGGGATGAATAAAATGATAAAATGTCCTTGTCTCTCATATACAACCTTCTTGAAAACAATCAAACTCTTCCATTTTAAAAATCAGAGGATGAAATAATGATTACCTTTTCATATGAATCGACAGAAATGGTAGAAATTGGAATGTACACTTACTTAACAGAAAATTAACAAACTAGAAATATAATGATTATCTTCATGTACAAATGTATGGCACACGACAAACTACATATGAGAAATGCAATATACAAATAAATACAGTGATGCATAAATGCAATTTGTCACTGTGATGTTTTGTCTAAGATAATAAGGTTATTTTCAATCAACTCTTCATATGCTAATTTAAATTCTCCACCTTCATTTTTTGTACATAAATCAACTTTTGATATTTTCCCTGGTACCTGAAAAAAATAAAGAGAAAGATATTTAAAGGAATCTCAATAAATCATGTAACAAAATTTCCACATTAAAAGAGTAAGTTACATATTATATAGTGTTTCTATATAAACTAAGATTTATGTACATTACAGAAATATATACTCTACATGTTTTCTCTCTTCTTTTTAAGTGACAAATACTTTCTTAAGATGAAGTATAGAAATTTTTATTAATAATTTTAAGCAATTTTAGTAAAATAAGATATTAGTTTCACAGCAAGTGTTATGGCTAGACAGACCTCTTCTCCAAGAAATTATTTAAAGGAATCTACATTAGAACTGTAAGAGAAAAGGCTGCAACAGTACATCCACCTATGAATAATAAATAGGTTTAGACTGCTGCTTCACAGTAAGGCTATTGGAGACTGCAAGATAAAGCCTATTTAAAGATAATGCCAAGATTTCCAAATTACTTTGAAAATCTACATATATTTAAAAAGAACAAAGTAATAATGAGCAGGATCAATTACATGAAGAATACACCATACCTGCCAACCTCTAAAAATAAAAATTCAGAAGATTTCTCCCCCAAATTCAGATTTCTCCAAAATTCAGAAGAACACGAAGAATTAATATCATGCTTTGATATTGAAAAAATAACAATTTATACAAATAGAAAAAAGAAAATTGTACTTATATTAGTAAATCTCAGTTAAGTAGTAACTAAAAAATTTATTAGGAAACATAAAATAAGAACTTAATGTTACACAAAAAAATTATTGCAATGAATTTAGAGTCCATTTTTTGGCTTTAGCCAAAAATTCTTTGGAAAATTTTCTGTCATAACAATTGGTTTCCTCATAACATTTAGCAATTAAAATGTTTTCTAGAGTTTTTGGTGAAATTGAACAACGAATCATAGTTTTGTTTTTCTTTACAACACTGAAGACTCTCTCGCACTCAGCATTACTGTGTGGAATTACGAGAATAGCACATTAAACTCTTGCTAGTCTATCATATTTTGGTGTTCCATGAGCTCTTTTTATTCTTTTTAAGGTACCAACGAGGACATCAAGTCTATCTTCTCCAGAACTGGCAAAGTCTTCAAACTGTGCAGCAGAAAATTGGTTCTGTAGTTTATCTAAAGCATTATGGCATTCATTTTCTTTAATTGTTAACAAAAAAATAGAAATTTATCAATAAAAAAATGAATCTTTTCAAAAGATGAATTTTCAATTTGTCAAAAGATGAAACATCCATCTGAAAAGTTAACCGGCGTGATCGGCAGCGCTTAGCGGCATGTTGTGTTCGATGAGGAATGCAGTAAGCAAACACTCTGCCAAAATGACATCGGCATCCGAATTCGTAGCCGAATTTGAAAAAAAATCATCCACTTTTTTTGACGTTGTCGAAGCCGAAGCATTAACTTCATGATTTTTAGACTTAACATGATTCACAATGTCGCTTTTTCCACCGTGACTTATTATGAAGGCACACACGCACACGTTGCAAAATGCATAGTTATTTCCTTTGAAGGATTCTTTAATTGTTGGAAATTCGGCTTTGTAGGCAGGACAAAACTATTGAGAACACGGTTTTTTTGAACTCATTTCGTAACAACGACATATTAACATGTTAAGAAAATTCGTAGCACGTGCAAGCAAAAAAAAAAAAAAAAAAAAAAAAAAAAAAAAAAAAAAAAAACCAGAATCTGACAATCCACGCTCGCTGAGTAATTCCCTTGCTACTGAAGCGAACGCGAAAAAAATAATGTGGCGCCCACAAAGAAAAAAGTGGGAAAAACAAGTTCAGCGCATTGGAATGGCTGGTTAAGCGGCGAGTTGGGAGAAACCGCAGGTTACTGGATTCAAAGTAGTCAGTAGTTGGCGGTAAAACACGATGCAATTGGCGAAAATCGCTGAATTGCGAAAAATTCTAAAATTTCGACCAAAAATCACTAAAAAAACATGAAAAAGGAAAAAGATCGTAAAAAATGGATTACGATCGTAAAATCGTAAAGACAAACGCATTTTCGTAAAAGTTGGCAGGTACGAATACACACCAACATGTGGTTACCAAGTAATTTCTTTAATAAGTGAATTCATAAGAATTTTTGTTCCTTTTGCGAAGGCTTATCTTACCAAAAAGAGCATACCATTGGAAATTCTTCTAATGGTGTACTTGTTCCCCTTCAGACTTGGCACATAATTTTGTAAATTATTATGTACAGTCAAAAGTCGTTAATCCGGACTCGTTGGGACTTCGGCGATTCCGGATTATTGATTTTTCCGGATTATTGATCATTACTTTAAATCTGGTAAGATGGCATGCAGAAATTATAAAATTAAAAATATGAAACCATAATTTATGAAATAAAGAACAATTATGATCTAAAGGGTATCAAAATTTACAAAAAAAGAAAGCTTAATATTTATTTGTTTACTTTATTAAACATTTCTTTCAATGTAAGTTGTTTAATTTGCTTCGTTTTAGGTGATAATACTTTCTCTTTAATTCTATAAACAGACATAATTTCTTGTTCAGTATCAAAGTTCCGCTGATCAAGTCCTATAATTGCTGTGTCGAGAATACCGACTAATTTGTGAATCAAAATTTTTCATTTTCAATAACCTCTGTGTCACTTTCTTCACTGTCGGAAGCGAATTATAATGACGAGGAATTTGATTTAAGTCATATCAAAGACAGAGTACATCGAGATCAAATACTACATTTAGAAAGGAATTATAAGCCAAATAAAATAAAAACATTTGCCCTGAAGATAAGGATAGTGCTGACAGATCAACTTCCAATTCATTGCGCGCCGCGGCATTGAAGAAAAGCATTTCTTGGGCTGATATTAAGGAAATGTGATCTGTTTGGGCTACAACACAAGCCATTGTGTAAAAGTGGCATCATAAGACAGCAGTAATGAATAGTATTCAATGATAATGTGATGTTCTATTTTGGAACAACTAGCATTGCTGCAAATGCCAGATTACAGTGGAAAGGTTTTTTTTTTTTTTTTTTTTTTTTTTTTTTTAATTTCTTATTTATTTATTTATTTATTTTTTTTTTAATCTGGAAAAGAGGGAAAGTGAACTCAAACCTTCAAGCAGTAATACAAAGAATCAAAAGAAATAAAATAAGAAAGGTACAGTTATTTAGTGTGATATTACAAAATACAGTACAAAGTCTGTAATCCAGACGTCCCTTATCCGGAATGATCTATAATCCAGACCTCAAACCCACAAACTTTTTTTTTTTTTTGCATGCGTTCACTAGTAATGAGTTTACGCATGCGCATTTAATGTATAGCGGGCGGTATAAGCTAGGCTAAAATTATCTTCACTGATTCTAAGGCATTTCAGTTAATGTTGCAGATTGCACTGTTTCTTAATCTTCTGATTGGATCAGGCTTATTATTTTTAAGACTGTTAGAGCAATTTTATAAAAATTAAGCTTGAACTTTCGATTATGCCAAAAAGAGTTTCCAATTCTGAAGCAGCCAAAGAATCTACAAAGCTAAAGCATGTTTCGACGTCCATCAAACAAAAAATGGATAAAGGCATATCTGTCTCAAAATTATGTGAGCAATATGACATTGGAAAGTCAAGTGTATACGACATAAGCAAAAAGAAAAAGGAACTTTTTGAAGATTCCGACACCTTGAATGAATAACAGAAAAAGGGTTCATTACGCTAAAAGTGACAATCATGACAAAGTGATGATTGAATGGGTCAGACAGCATCACAGCAAGGGCGTGCCATTGACGGGTCCAATGCTAATGGCTCAAGTCAAAATATTTCACGAAGAAATGAACTTAAATATTTAGTGCAGATATTCGACAGGTTGGTTAATCAAATTAAAAAATCGCCATGGTATAAGACAAAAATTTCAGGTGAAAAAACTTCAGCTGACACTGAAGCTGCTGAACAATTTGCAGATGAATTCATTGAACACATTACTAGTGAACAATTATCTCCAGAACAAATTTACAATGCTGATGAAACTGGTCTTTTCTGGCAGTATGTACCACAAAATACCTTGGCAACCTCTACAGAAATGGCTCCAAATGGTGTCAAAGATTCCAAAGCGACTTTAACAATTTTTAGCGTGCGCAAATACTGCAGGAATGCACAAGTGCAAACTTTTAGTAATCGGAAAACATGAATGACCTTGAGCATTTAAAGAAGTAACGATTTTCCCTGTTATGTATCGTGCAAATAAAAGAGCATTGATGACACAAGCGTTGATGAATGATTGGTTTGAAAATCATTTTAGACCTGAGGCTCGGTGACATTTGAATTCGGTTGGTTTACCTGATGACTCAAAAATAGTCCTAATTGTTGACAACTGTTTGCCGCATACTTCATTTAAAGTTTTAGTGAAAGATAATGTAGCTTATTCTTCCCTCCAAATTATGTGTCTATCATTCAGTCTATGGATATGGGAATAGTGCACACACTGAAATGCAAATATAAAGTAACATTTTAAAAATCTATGTTGAACAATGGCAAGACTATTCAAAACTTTTTGAAATTTTTTAGCATAAAATCTGCTGTGTGGAGCATCACAAGATCTTTGGGAGGATGTGTCTCCAGATATGTTAAAAAATGCTTGGCATAATTTATGCCAGCTACCATATTCCATGGTGAGGATGACAAAGATGATAGCCGCGAATTTGAAGGTTTTCTGACATTGCAAACTAAAAGTGAAATTTTCCAGTTATTGGATTTTGTAAAGAAATGTGGAGAAGTGGTAATAAATGAAGATGATATAACAGAAGTTTTTCATTGCGATGACAATGCCCCAATCATCAATCAATTAACAGACGACGAAATCTGTAGTATGGTTCTAGATCCAGAAAATACTGCTTCCGACAGTGAAGAAAGTGACAGAGATGTTATTGAAAACAAAAACATTTTGGTTTAAAAGTTAATCGATATTCTCGACACAGCAGTTACAGGACTTGAACAGTGGCACTTTGTAGCTGAACAAGAAATTATGTCTGCTTATAGAATTAA